TTGAAGGGTTATCTAGCTTGGCTTTCATGTACTGAGTGATCTTAAATATACAAATGAACATACATAAATCTAACATGATTAATGAGGTAAAACCAATAAAAACCATAGTAGTAAAGGGAGGAAATATTAAAGAAGTAAAGGATAGTTATGTGATTCATCAGTGCTGTACCACACCCTGGATTTTCCAGCCCTTCTGTGCGGTCCTTCTGAGAAGGACTGTCAAATTATCTTGCAGGTGGGTTTGGGTTTCGACTACATCCATGTCCCTTCACATTGATTTTGGGGATAACCAATTCCTTATGCTTAAATACAAAGAGCCTTCAAAAAGTTCATGGGGAATTCTGTTATCTCTCAGTTCAATTTTTCCATAAATGTTTGGCAGTCCCCTAGGTTTCATGAGTCAGGAACTTAGAACCGAGGTGGTTACTCACCTGTCTATTGCCATCCTGTTGATTTCAAATCCTTGTAAGGACAGGGAATTGCCCTATAGGGTTTGCAAGGTTATAATCTTTCGGAAAGCAGACATCTTTGTCTGTCAGTTAGCAGAATTACTGTGCCCGTCCCCAGGGCTCCTTATTGCAGTTCCTTTGTATTCCATTGGGTCTGGAATCTAGATTAAAGTCTCAGTTCGCTGGGGCTGGGAGAGCACACTTCTAAGTTGGTGTCTTGAATCACATTATCTTGTATTTGCACTGAAATAGCTTAAGTCTGAGCTCAGTTTGGACTTGACTAGCATGCCTAATGTGGCCTCTCTAGCACAGAAGTCTCAGAACAGTTGGATTTCCAACCACCTGGCAGCTCAGGGCTCTAATGGGCACTCCATTGCTGTTGGCTGACTGTGACCCAGCCTTGGAAGTCACCTGACATCATTTCCACCATATTCTATTGGTCAAAGCAGTTACAAGCATGGTCATATTTAAGTGGGCAGAAAGAGAGATGTAGACTACATCTCTGTACAGGGGTGGGAGTAGGGAAAGTGTCAACGAGTTTTTTTTTTTTTTAAATAATCAATTTATTGGGGCTCATACAATTTATCACAATACATAGATCAATTGTGTAAAGCACATCTATACATTTGTTGCCCTCATCATTCCCAAAATTCTCTTGCCTCCTGGGTTCCCGGTGTCAACGAGTTTTAAAGAACCACATCAGGAAAA